GGGATGGTGGCCTTTGGGCTGAGGTCTCCAGATTTGGGAAGAGGATAGAGTTTGGGAATAGCGTGAATAAACGTCCATGGTGGGAGGGACACGGAGCTTTGGAGGAACAAGGAGGCCATCGTGGCTGGAGGGGACTGAGCAAGGGGAACGTGGCAGACAAGGCAGGAGCCGGGGGCCACCTCAGAAGAGTTTAAAGTGGGAGGGGGCATGAGCAGGTCACCATCCGCAGCACTTACTGGCTGCTGTGTGGATGGAGGATGGGGAGAGAGGCCGTTCACTGGGCGACAAGAGATGGTGGAGACCTGGACCAGGCTGTGGTTGGTGGAAATGGAGCAAAGAGGGTGGTTTCAGGAGACTTTAGGTGGTACATACCCCCATTTTACAGATGTGAAAACTGAGGCTCAGAGAACTTGCAGAGCTCAGGGATGGGCATCTCCTCTCCTGGCTGCTCATAATCTTGCCAGCCACTCTAACACCCGCTCCTCAGTTCCGTTCATCCCCAGACCCCAGGCTCTGAATCCCATGTCCATAGCATGGAAGATTCCAGATCCCATCCGTTCCCAAAATCCTGACCGTCAGCTCCGCCAGCCCACCACCACCCCGGGGCATACCCAGTGAGCACTCCAACGTTACACGTCTGAACTGGAGCCACTGGTTCTGCCCGCCCAGCCCTCTCTCCTCACTAGGGGCCCCTCCGGCCCCCAGCCGCTCAGCCCGGCCTCGGTGCTGCTGTCAGACAGCAGGTGGGCAGAGCCAGGGAAGAAGAGACGCGGGCCCCCCTCGAACTGCCCGGCCCGTGGGGCTCCCTGGCGCGGCGCCCAGGCTGGCGCCGAGCCCCTGCCCGCCTCTGCGCCCGCAGGAGCTGGCGGACCTGAAGCACGTGCACGGCAAGCTGAAGAAGCAGTTCCAGGAGAAGGTGGCGGAGCTGGCACACGCCGGCCGGCGGGTGGAGCAGCACGAGGCCGAGGTGAAGAAGCTGCGGCTGCGCGTGGAGGAGCTCAAGAAGGAGCTGGCGCAGGCCGAGGACGAGGTGAGGGCCGTGCCAGGAGGGGCGGGGCCGCAAGCCCTGCTGGGTGGCTCCGCGCCGGGTCCCCAGTGCCTGGCGTGAGCCCGGGTCTGAGCAGGTGCCCAGGCTAGAGCAGGCGGGGGACGACAGAGGGATGGCAGGATAGACGCGCGGGCAGGAGGAGCGGAAGAAAAGTGGGCGGACAGGGTCGATGCGTGGAGAATGGATGGATGGAGGGACAGGTGGGTGCGTGTGTGGATGGTTGAGTAGAAGAACAGGACGGAAGGAGGTTTCCGTGGATGGAGGAGTAGACGGATGGATGGGTGGACGGATGGACAGACGGATGGATGGATGGGTGGACAGATGGACGGACGGATGGATGGATGGGTGGACAGATGGACGGACGGATGGATGGATGGGTGGATGGATGGATGAGAGAGGGAGGGGGTGGATGGATGGATGGATGGATGGACGGGCGGGCGGGCGGACGGACGGACGGGCGGGCAGACGGACGGACGGACGGATAGACAGGCGGGTGGGTGGGTGGATAGGTGGGTGGGTGAACGGGTGGGTGGACGGGTGGATGGACGGACGGACGGGTGGATGGATGGATGGACGGATGGATGGATGGATGGGTGGACGGATGGATAAGAGAGGGAGGGGGCGGATGCATGGATGGGTGGGTGGGTGATGGGTGTGTGAACAGATGGATGGCTGGATGGGCAGACAGTGGAGACAGGTGGAGGGACAGCCGTCAGTGGGTGAAGAGTGAATGGACAGAGGGAACGAAGGCCGGCTGAGGGGGGGACGGGTGGGCCTGGGGCAGCAGGAAGCTGGGGTGGAGGGGGCGGGCGTGGGTGGACTGGTGAATGTGCGTGGGTGGTTTGGTGTCTCCACGGGCAGTGAGTATCTCCAAGGACGAGTGCTCAGGTGACGATGGATGAGGACGGATGGGCAGGCAGGTGGCTGGCTGCATCAGTGGCGCAGGGCACCGCAGGGTGGCAGATTGGAAGGGGGACAACAGGGATGGGGAGGAACAGAAGGCAGGCATCCCTAGAGGAGGTGAGCCTGGGTCTGGGCCTTGAGGAGCAGACACTGTTGGAAAAGCACGTTCCCGGAGAGGGACGGTGGGAGTGGCTGTCCCTGGATGGTGGCAGGCCGGGCTGCCCGGCCCAAGGTGACCCTCACGCTCTCGGCCCTGCTCACCGCAGCTGGACGAGGCCCACAACCAGGCGCGCAAGCTGCAGCGGTCGCTGGACGAGCAGACGGAGCAGAGCGAGAACCTGCAGGTGCAGCTGGAGCACCTGCAGTCCAGGTGGGCCCCGGCTGCGGGAGGACTCGTGGGAGGACTCGTGGGAGGACTCGTGGGAGGACTTCTGGCGCAGGCGCAGAATCAGCGCAGGGGGACTTCCAGCCCAGGGAGACCTCCAGTCAGGCCGGGAGCCCCGAACCAGGGCTGAAGGGGAAAACAGAGAAGGAAGAGAGCCGGGAGCCCTGGGGCCAGAATCCTGTCCCCTCCAGGCAGGAAGGGCCAGAGCCAGGAAACCAGGGAAGGGGGTGCAGGAAGTCAGGCCTTGTAGGGGCGCCGGAATTGTCTCCTCTAGCGGGGGCTGGTGGGTGGTGGGAGGGCAGGAAGGGCGGTAGAGAGGGCAGGCCAAGGCGGTGGGGAGGGCCAGCAGGGCTGGGGGGTCCTTGACATGAAGAATGAACACCCCCAGGGTTACTGGGCTGGGGTGACACTGGATGGCAGCGAGTCATGGAGGGGCCCCCACTGACGGCAGGCTGACCCACCAACCTCTGGGGACCCGCCCAGCACACTCTGCCCGCCTCCCCCTCCCAGGACTGGTGAATCACTCCCTCTCTGTGCGCCTCCCCCAGAGCCAGGACATGTCAGGGAACTTCAAGTCCAAGCCCGCCCTGCCCCACAGCTGGGAGCCCAAGGCCATCATAGCCGTGGCAGTGGCCGACTGCTCTGCGCCAGGCCCCGGCCAAGCACGCACTTACATTCTCTTATCTCGTAGAATAGAGCCAGACTGCCGGGGTGGTGGGAAGCTTCAGCCCGGCTCTGCATTCAGTAGCTGTGGGGTCTTGGGACACTTGCTTAACCTCTCTGTGTCCGTTTCCTCTTCTGTGAAATGGGGCTGATGTGAGCTCTCACCTCTTGGGGGGAGAATTAAATGAGCCGATCCACATTCCTTACAGTACCTGGCACATGGTAAATAATAATAGCTGCTGCTGCTGTTACTGCCGTTACCAGTTACCCCAGGAGGGGCTCATATTTGCGTTAGATATTGTGCTGCTTCTGTAAGAGAAAGGAAAGGAGAGAGATTTTGTCCTAGGGGGCTAGCAGATGAGGAAACGAAGGCCTAAGAGAGTAGGTCCTTCCACGGCCACACAGCTGCCGGGTGGCCAGGCCGGATCACCCGCTGGCCATCGGCCATTGGAGCCCTCGTTTATTGAGCATTTACTACGTGCTGCTGCGTGCTTCAGGGCACCAGCCGGGGAGCCAGCGGCCGGGGACCAGGCCCACAGTGCTGTGGGGGCCCAGTGTGTGTCCAGCCCAGGCCCAGTGTCCGGCCGGCCCTGCCCACTCTGGCCCGCAGCACCCACCCCGCCAAGGCCACTCCGCCTGGGGCTTCCCGCAGCCTCGGTGGCATTCTCCAGGAGCCGCCAGCTCCCAGGACGAGCCTCCGAGGGCCGTAGCGTTGTCGTAGCCTGTAACTTTTCCTGCTTTAATGTTCCGGGACAGCCCACTAAATCACGGCGCAGTAATGGAGCCCCCGCCGCGCCCTCCGCCGTGTTAATAATTCAGGCCTTCCAGGAAGGGCCAGGCCGCCGGGCGGGGGAGGGCAGGGGCGGCGTTTCCTCCCCGCTGCTCTGAGAGTCAGAGTTTGCCTCGTAAATTTTGGCTTTAGGAATTTTAACGTGAGGAAGAGCTAGGGCTGAGCACGCTCACGCTCAGGGTTGCGGGGATGTGGGGGTTCAGGCCACCCGCTGCCGCCACCACTAATGCCACCAGGCTTGGGTCCTGCACCTGGCTAAGTCCCCGGCCCACTCCGGAGCCAGCCGCCTCGGTTCAGAGCCCAGCCCTGCTCCCTGGGCTGACGTTCAGCAGTTACTCCTTTTCTCCGTGCCTCAGTTTCCTTGTCTGTGAAGTGGGCGAGGTACTAGCCTCTCCTTCATGAAAGGGCCCTCCGTGAAGACGTAGGAGAATGTGTGTGGACGGCCTCGCGTGCCACCTGCCATCGGGGAGCATGGGGACGTGTGGCTGCTGACCTGTCACCCCCCCACAGGCTCCGCAGGCAGCAGCAGAACGCGCCCCTTTTCGGGAAGATCCGGGGCGCTCGCTTTGGCACTGAGGAGGCCGGGGACGGAGCCAGCGACCTGGACGAGGATGAGGACTTGCAAATCCAGGTGGCCTAGAGCCTCTCGGCGCCGGACGGGACGGGACCCAGGGCCCAGGCCAACCCGTCACCTGAACTGACGCAGCGGCCCGGGCTTGCCCTGGCGAGGCCCTGCTCCCTGCCACGGTGACCTGTCTGTCCCAGGGAGGCATCAGCAGTCCTGCCTGCCAGCGCCCGAGGAAGGGGCGACCGTGTTCTGTACGCACATGTGTGTTGCATACGTGCCCAGGGCCTTGGACCCTTTCGGACTTGCGAATACAGGACCGCTCCGAAGCTCCGCCCACCCAGGGCTCCTCACACGCTCCGGGCACGTCGGGGGCGAGTGGCCGGGGCCCACCCCAGGCTGCCTCTCTAGGCCTTGAAGGCCCCGCAGGGGCTGTTCGAAATACAGTGTGATGAACCCAGCCTTTTGTAATAAATGGAGTTCAAGTTCTTGGGTCAGAGTCCTGAAAACGTGGCAGATGCGGGCGGGGGGTGTGGGGGACAGCGTCAGCCTACACCTGACACTAAACCAGAGCTCAGGAACAGTGAGTGACTCAAAGAACGTCAGAAAGGGTGAATGAATGAACATCTAGCTTCCGAGCGGTCTGGTATCCCGCTCCGGTGACAAGGAAGGAAAAAGTACAGTGGGTGTCTAATCTGGAGATGGGAAAACTTCAGTTCTGGCACCCGATGGATTCAGATCTCCGCTCTGCCCCTTACTGGCTGTGCAACCTCAGGGAAGTTACTTGCCGTCTCTGAGCCTCAACTTTCCATCTGTGAGTTCAGATGTCTCGTAGAGCCATCACAAGAATTAAAGAAGTTGATCCAGAGCTCAGTAAAGGAGAGTTATTGTTAAAATACCTGCAGGTCTGCCCTGGAGAGGGGGTACCTGCCAGCGGGGTGCAGGGGATGTCGTTCGGGTGATTGATGGGTTTACCCAGAGGTAGGTGTGGATACAATAAATATGAACCCTTTTATCTTTCCCCCAGCCCTGCTCCAGGTAGTGAAATTACAGGTTAATTTCACTTTTGATGTTTAATTTCCAAACCATGTATAAGCAGCAGATTTATGTTAAATCTGATGGAAACTGTTATTAGAAACACAGTAGCGTATACTTTTGATCTTTGACAGTCGAAGTGGCATTCCGGGCACCTGCTCTTCTGATGAGATGTTTTAGACGAAGTCTCGGCACCAGGGCCTGCTTTCTGCAGAAGGAAGTGTTGTCAGAATTGTTCCAGAATGCCTAAGGTGATGAGCTCCCTGTGTCCAGGGGTGTGTAAGGAAAGGCCAGAGCCTGGCAGCAAAGAGGAGTTAAATTCAGTTGATAAAGGGGCGGGGGGAGGGGGGAGCTGCACTACATGACTTTCTAGGTGTGACCTAGTCATGAGGGACCGCTCAGGTCACAGTGCCGGGTCCCAGGCCACTGGGACCTTGGGGGCGAGGAGAGCGGAGAGGCAGGCCCAAGAGTCCGGGGCCGGGTGCTGCCGTGGCAAAGAGGCCCGGGGTCCCCTCCTGGGCTGCCAGTGGGAAGGAGGGAGTGGGGGAGACAGCCCTGGGGACCTCCCTCCGCGGCTCTTTTCCCAGCGCTGCCGTGCAAAACAGGGCTTCGGGAAGAGGGCCATTTCCTGCCAGGGGTCCTTCTGTTTTCTCTCCTAAACAGGAAGTTGGCCCCAGAAAAGGCTGCAAGTGCTGCCCTTTGACCCCCAGGAGCTAGCAGGCAGGAGCCAGGCCCTCCTCCCTGACACCAGCTCTCAGAGCCACCTCCGGCTGCCAGGGCCAGACACAGAGCAGACCCGTCTGGCCGCTGGGCTCCCCCAGACTCCTTGGCACCTCCTGCGAGATAGCGCCGGGTGGGGCCTCATTGCGGCCCTATCTCCTGCAGGCCGCTCCTGGGAATGTGGGGGGGGTCTGGCCTCCCGCTGTACACAGGGGGACCCAGAGGGGGCGGGACAGCAGACACAGGGCTCCATGGTGCCCTGGGCCCAGACGCCGGCTGCTTCCCTGCTCTCGGCCCTTCCGGGCTTCCCCTGCCTACAGCGGAAGTCACCCGGTGGTCGCGGTGGCGTCTGCCAACAGCAGCGTCAGCCTCTGCCTGCCCTGGGCCTGCGCCCACGCCACGGCCACGCTGCTGCTCCCCGGGATGGGGCACAGACACCCCATGCACCGCAGTCCCGCAGTCCCGCCACTCCTCACCCTGCACCCACCTCATTTAAATGACTGTCCCGCCCCTGGAGGGGCCGGAGGGTTTTGCCTCTGGCTTAGTCCAGTTTCGAGTGCACTGTGGCTCACAGGCTCAGAACTCCCGCAGGCTCCACGTGGCTACCAGGGTGACCACTAAGAACGTTAAAACTGAGTGAGCCCCACCGTGTGCTTCAGACGCTGCCATCTCACTGGTGGTTCCCACCAGCCGGTGACACAGGTGCCACCGTCACCATCCCACTCTATGCCGGAGCCCAGAGAGGGGGGAGCCGGTCACTAGCCCTCCCCCTCCCCTGCAGCCTCCCTCCCCCATTCTGCACGCCCTGCAGCTCTGGCCGTGCCCACCCCCTTCTGCCCCAGACCTGCCCTGGACCATCAAAGTCCCACCCACCCTTCCTTTGGAGTTGAGCCTGCCAGTCCATTTGCAGTACTCTGGTGTGTGTGTGTGTGTGCGCGCGTGTGTGTGTGTATGTGTGTGTGTGTGTGTCCTCCCAGCAGCCAGCACCGTGCCTGGGCCCAGTGGGCAGCCGGGAAGAGTGATGCGGATAGAAGGAAGGAAGGATGGGTGGATGGGATCTTGGAAGGCTGACGCCAGAGCCCTCACTCCACCCCCAGCCCCACGGCAGTAACTACCAGGCCAGTCCTAGATGGTCTTTCTGGATCTTTCTGCCCCTCAGCCACGTCTTCCTCCTGCAGTGGAGTGGGCAAGCTTCCCCAGGCTTTGCTCAAGCACCCCAGGGGCGGCAGTGCCAGGGCCCCTCCCCACGGGCCTGGAGCGCCCAGACAGGCTGGAGAACCGGCTGGCCCAGACGCTGCCGGCCACCGCCCTGCCTCCCCCTCCCCCCAGCAGCGTGAGGGGGGGCCCTGGAGTCTGCCCTTGCTCTCCAGCCAGGGCCGTTCTGCCCAACCTGACTCCCCCAGCAGCCCCCAGGGGCCCCTGCCTGAGGTCCGTGTTAAGGAGTGAAACTCACACTCCAACCTACCAGAAAAGCCTGCTTTTTTTCTGGCCCCCGCCTGCTTTCTGTTAGCTGTGCATCTTGTGGTAAGCTCCTGGCCCTCTCTGGGCTCTAGTTTCCCTGCCGGTAAAATGGGGACAAGGACAATGGGCTGTCGCAACCCACATCCAGTGGTGTGGCCTTGGTGACACCCTCCTCCTCCAGGCTTCCCCTTCCCTCCCGAGACCCCTGCGCCTTGTTTGCACGGGGGCCTCCGGCCACCCGAGAGGCAGCCCTTGGTGGGCAGCGGCTGGCAGCCGGGGCAGAGGCAGCACCCAGGAACCAGCTGCAGTCTCAGCCAGCCGTCCCCACCCCCGGCGCCCTGCCTGTTTTATCTGCTAATTGCAGGGTTGCAAGATGCCACCTGCCTCCCAGGCCCCAGGCGGGCGCCTCCCAGTGGAGCAGGGGCCCCGGCGCCGCCCAGTCCTCCTCCAGCCCCGCGGCTCCCGGCTCCCGCACTGGCCGTGGTCTCCATGGTGCTCAGAGGCCCTGCCACGGAGGGAGGGGGCCTGAAAAGATGGAAACACGCTTCCCCTGCGTCAGAGAGGAGCATCCTGGCCTCCCCTCCCCCACGAGCGTGGCTCTCCTGTCCTGGCACGTGGGTGCCTCCTCCAAGCCGTCTCAGCTCCCTGTTGCTCTGGGATTTAAGGTCCGGACTGCCTCGCTGGCTTCCTAGCACTGCCCCTGCCCCTGCCCTGCGGCCTGAGCGCCAGCCACCTGGTCACGCCGCCGCATGCCACACGCTCACTTCCAAAGGGACTTGGGGACATGCCTAGCTGCCCACAGCTGGACCCCTAGCTCTGAGGAGTCTCCCCAGGAAAGGAGGGAGGGCTTCACTGGGGCCCCATGCTCCTCATCCTTTGCCGCATTTAATTTTAGTAATCACAACACCCCGGGAGGTGGGTAATGACAGGATGAGAAGACTGAGGACCAGAGAGGGAAGGGCCCAGCGGGTAAGGGCCAGGACCTGGATTCACATCCAGACAGCTCCAGCCCCTGGGCCCATTCAGAGGGGGTCCAGGGGAAGTGCTTGTGGGAGGGAGGGGCCCTGTGACGGGCCTGCACTCTCCAGACCACTCTGCAAAGCCGTTGCTCAGCAGCGCCCAGCTGACCCTCCAACGCGGGGCATCCTAACCTGGGCCAACCAGCCAGAGTCCCCACAGCAAAGTGCCTTATCCTATCCGGGCACCCAGCAAGCGTCCCCTGGGAATCCCCAGGTGCTTTTACTTGGGACAGAATCCATCGCTCCGTTGGCCCCTCCATCATGGTAACTCTGGAGAGAGAAGCCCGGCAAATGTGGATTCACCTACACGCGGAACTAGGCAAGGAGCTCCTCCCCTGAGCCTCAGTTTCCACATATGTGACACGGATGTGCTGTGGGCTTAGGAAGGACACGTGCCACGCCCCTAGCACAGGGTCCGGCTCATGGCAATATATCGTTCATCCACCTTTGGCCAAGGGCAATGGTCGTGTCTATGTGAGAGGAAAAGCCACTTGTCCACACTGGGGCAGGATCCTTAGCCTAGATCTGCCTCTCGGTGGCAGGGCCCTCGAATCACCATGGAGACCACGGCCAGTGCGGGAGCCGCGGGGCTGGAGGAGGACTGGGCCGCGCGCCGGGGCCCCTGCTCCACTGGGAGCGCCCGCCTGGGGCCTGGGAGGCAGGTGGGCATCTTGCAACCCTGCAATTAGCAGATAAAACAGGCAGGCGCCGGGGGTGGGGATGGCTGGCTGAGACTGCAGCTGGTTCCCTGGGGCGCCTCTGCCCCGGCTTGCCAGCCACTGCCCACCAAGGGCTGCCTCTCCGGTGGCCGGAAGGCCCCGTGCAAACAAGGCGCAGGGGTCTCGGGAGGAAAGGGAAGCCTGAAGGAGGAGGTGTCACCAAGGCCACACACTGGATGTGGGTTCGACAGCCCATTGTCCTTGTCCCCATTTTACCGGCAGGGAAACTAGAGCCAGAGAGGCCAGGAGCTACCACAAGATGCACAGCTAACAGAAAGCAGGCGGGCCAGAAAAAAAGCAGGCTTTCTGGTAGTTGGAGTGTGAGTTTCACTCCCTTAACCGGAACCTCAGGGCAGGGCCCCTGGGGGTCTCGTGGGGGAGTCAGGTTGGTGCAGAACGGCCTGGCTGGGAGAGCAAGGGCAGACTCCAGCCCCCCTCACGCTGCTGGGGGAAGGGGAGGCAGGGCGGCCGGCCAGACGGTCTGGGCAGCCGGTTCTCCAGCCTGTCCTGGTGGCTCCAGCCGTGGGAGGGGTCCCTGGCACTGCGCCCCTGGGTGCTGAGGCAAAGACAGCCTGGGGAAGCTTGCCCAACTGCCACTGCAGGAGGAAGACGTGGGAGGGGCAGAAAGATCCAGAAAGGACCATCCTAGGACTGGCCTGGAGTTACTGCCGGTGGGACTGCGGGGGGAGTGAGGGGCTCTGGCGTCCAGCCCTTCCAAGATCCCATCCACCCATCCTTTCCTTCCTCTATCCGATCACTCTTCCCGGCTGCCCCACGTAGCCCAGCACGGTGCGCTGCTGAGGACCACACACAAACACACCACACACACACCAACGCTGCAACACACACACACACAAGGATGCAGAATGGACTGGGCAGGCTCACTCCCCCAAGGAAAGGGGGGTGGGTGTTGATGGTCCCCAGGCAAGGTCTGGGGCCAGAAGGGTGGTGGCACGGCCAGAGCTGCAGGGCGGGCAGAATGGGGGAAGGAGGCTGCAGGGGGAGGAGGTAGTGACCGGCTCCCCCTCTCCTGGGCTCCGCATAGAGTGGGATGAGACGGTGGCACCTGGTCC